TACGATCGGCAAAACATACACACACTGGCATTTTATTTCTAAAATTACGAAATCTTACCTGAACAATTGACCTTAACCAGGGAAATGTCTTTTTCCACGACTCATCAAAACCAGCCTCACGCCGTTTCCGTGTTTCTACACGCTTCCGTTTCTGTGCTGTGCTAGCGGTGATTGTACGTTTTAGCCGGGCGGCATCACCTTTTTTTCCTTTACATGTTTTGCCATATACCATCTCGGTGTTTGCAACTTGAGTGACATTTGTTCCCCATTGACAGCGTCTGTACTTCACACGTGTTTAACAATGGGACTGTTTAATTTGTCCCGGCAAGTTCAAACCTCCGTGGCGTAGACGGTGATAATTTATGCAGTGCTACGTGTGAGCAGGTCAAATGGATGTAAACAATGCATCCTATTAGCATGGCGGTGAAGTTGTAAGCATGGCGGCCCAAGCCCAAGCGTGGCGGGCGGTGCCGCCATGCTTTGTTCTATGTGGGGAGAAAACTGGATATGAATGGTTTATGCCTGGTAAAAGCCATCACAGATAGATGATATGAATGGTTTATGCCTGGTAAAAGCCATCACAGATAGATGATATGAATGGTTTATGCTGGTAAAAGCCATCACAGATAGATGATATGAATGGTTTATGTAGTTACAATGCTATGACAATTGTGCTTACCTTCATCACTGTCACTGTAGTCATCTGATTCTTCATCCTGCTCTATTTGAGTTTGACCTGATCTTAGTTTTATCAGTTTACGCTCATATACACTACGGGTGGTAGCTGTGTCACAAAAAAAGGACGATTAGCACACACAAAGGAGTTAAAGGATGAAGGATGATTAGAGATTTTGTAACTACAGTGATGGCAAATAATCCGAATTGAAGACTTTCAGTGTCAAGCCACACAGCCTATTGTCTTGTTAATTGATTATGGTAAATATATGGGGCTCATTTGTTTACATGCAACAAACAGTGTCCTGTGCATTTCAGGAACAAAGTTCCAACAAATTCCTGATGTAATCTGACAGTTTACCACACATACCAGAAAGTCCCTGTTGAAGACAAAGATTATGGTATTTTAAATTGATCAGTTATGCTGCATATTTTATAGTTGACATGTACTGAGAGTCAATTCATTTGAGAAAACTTTCATGTTTCACGCAAATTTGCTCATTAATATGCACATATTCAGACACACTCATGAGATTCAAGTCATGTGACATACCAGTAATAGGTCCAATGGTAGCTCCCAGCTCCTGGAGAGCACTGGCTAACTCTGTATCAGATAAATTAGCGACATCTTTCTCAATTTCAATGTCATCTCTACTAATTACTCTGCTACTGCTACTTTTTTTGGTAGTTTTCTGAAATCAATCAACAGATAAAAGTTATTTATGAAATAGTCTGGGGCAAAACAACACCATTTTGGAAACAAAAAAGAAATGACATGATCCGAAAATTGTTTTTGGTACAAAAATATACAAACTAAAAGACTGACTGACTGTATTGTTACATTTTTGGTAAAACAAAACGTTTTATTTTGAACATATACATGAAACATGCTAAGTTTGAATGGATTGAAAATGTCTAGAAAAAAAAAAGTTCAAGGACACTTTCTAAGATATGGGATATATCACTGTAAATTACTATCAATCGCCAAGCTTTCGAACAGATTTCACCAAGGCAAACTTAATAGTGTATATAACAAGCAGCCTCTCGTCTGAGATAGCTCCACTGTTAGCAATGCACATTTCAATTAAAGAACAGAAGATATCATTAGAAAATGAACAATATGTATAGTGTCAAAGCAATGGGACTTGCTGTTTTCAACAAGAATTTAAAAATATGTATATAACAAGCAGCCTCTCGGCTGAGATAGCTCCACTGTTAGCAATGCACATTTCAATTAAAGAACAGAAGATATCATTAGAAAATGAACAATATGTATAGTGTCAAAGCAATGGGACTTGCTGTTTTCAACAAGAATTTAAAAATATCATTTTTCACCATAAATGATTATGGTTTTTAACAAGAAGAAAATATCACTTTTTACCAAAAATGACAAAAATATTCACCAAAATTAGAGAATTGAAGATATCATTACAAAATGAACAAATCTGAGAGAGGTCTACCCAAGGTACATATACACCAAGTATCAAAACATTCAGGCTTGTAGTTTTCAAGAAGAAGTCGAAAAAGTAAAACATTGACACGGACGACGCCGGACAATCACTCATATGATAAGCCCCGCTCGACAAAGTGACAGCGGAGCTAATAAAAATAGGTTGAGTAATATTGATGGAATCCATGTGTAGTATTCTACACTGTTGTTTCATAAGCAGAGGTTACATAAGCGGACTGACAAAATACACAAATGTTTTTTAAACATCTATATACGCAATATAATATAAGGTCTGTTTGGATTGGTTGAATATAAAGATACAAATACGCATTAGTAGGCGAACCATTAAGTACATCTATGTGTGAGCCAATAATATATACACACTAAAACGTGGTTATCAGTAATGTCACATTAAAATACCGACAAAGGAAACTGTTAGTGATTTAAACTACTACATGTATACTATTCCAATGATAAAACGATAAAAGTGTGACATTTGGAGAATGTTAAATCAGGGTTTCTTATAGGTACTTCATTAATTCACTATAACATTGCAGTTGCCAAGTCACAAAAAGTAGTTTGGTTTTGTCAACGTAACTTAAAACAAATTATTCACATAAATAATATACAAATCAAATATCAAAGCACC